TTTTTCCTCTAGAAGTCTAGTGTGCATGTAGGATAAGGACTCTTTTATTTGTTTCTGTAATCAGAGCACACTTAATTATGAAATCTGTTGCCACAGGACAGATTTCTTTTCAATAAGCTCAACTTTTGCCCTCTTAGTGCAATATTGCAAAAATTGTACTATGCTGCCAGCTTTCAACAATGCTTTAGTGTAAAAACAGATCTGTGAGTTATGTATCATTGCATGATTTCAATGGAAAAAAAAACAGTGGAGGTCTTCTGAGAGTTTAAGTCTTTTTTGTCTTTTAATGAAAGCCTATATATTGTGTTCCTGCATAACAGATACCTTTGCACACAGTTGCATCTAAACTGATGTTGCATGTACTGTATTTGAAGTAGATCACAGGATTATTTTGGTGCCAGAGACCTTGTGTTCTAGTGTTCTACTGTATTTCATAAAGAATTTTTTTTTGTTCATACAGTATTCCCTAAATAATAAATTTAAAAGGCAAAGAGCTTTGCAAAACCTTCAAACAAACATGAGTGAGATTTCAGTCTTATCAATATGAAAGGACCTCCTGCCGAGGTGTGAGACTGCAATAAATTATTATTGTGAATTAATAGAGATTTTTTTGTGTCAAAACAGGTCTTCAAAAAATTGTACAGGCTGTTTTGTCTCTGGCTGTCAACACTGCAGAAACTGAACACTGTAACGCTAATGAACTTAAAAAAAATTGTGTTAAGCAGTGCAGCCTACAATGTCTGTTTTTCAAAAGAGAGGTGGGCCATGAGCTGAAAGATAAACTACTGTTCCTGCTCTGACCGAGTACATATAGATGCTGAGATGCTCATCTCCTGCTGCCTTAGGCCAAATATTTGGTGGGCTGCCCTGAGCTGTGCAGAGTGGCTGTGGCAGGGTGGGGATTGTTTAACCTACCTGGGTCTCCATCTTAGCATCTTTCTTGCAAGGGAAGGAGAATATTGTGGCTTACAGCAGAGAGGAAAATGCAGCTATCCCTTAACTCTGAACAGTAGAACCCTGGGGACTCAACTGAGGTCAAGGTTCTCATGCTCCACATTACACAGCACCAGGAGGCAACTCAGACCATGTGAACCTGGCCTAGCAAAGGGCGAGGAGTGGAAGGAAAACCAGGGACACAGAGGAGGGAAGAAATAGCCACAGATCTCACTGCAAGTGACTGATAGATATGTGTGCACACTTCACACTACCAAAAACCATTTTTCTGCTTTGCTGTTCCTGTGAATAATTGACCAGCTGAGCAAGAAGATGTGTTTAAACAATTGCCAAGCTGCCCCGATCTTCAGCACATAACTGGTCAAGTGAACTCCAGCTGTGGGAACTGAATATCACATCCCATGTTGTGTAAATTTCCTGTATCAGTAGTGTATAATTGGCAGTTTCCTGTTTTTCTCTTTAGATTAACAGGATGAGAGAAGATAATTGTAGCAGCTGGCTATAGAAGAACAATCAATATCCAAACCTATTTTCGTTTGAATTTCTACTAGGAAGTAGACCAGTAGTGTATTTCTTTATTACTAAGCAGTGAAAAAAGGGATGTGTGTTTTCAATTAGGTAGCTCTGCAATAGAGAAATCTTCACTACTTCTGCTTGCTTTGCTGGAGAAAAAAGAGAGAGCTGGCTTTTCCCTTCAAACAGATCTATTCCCAGTCTGCATATGAGACTGGCTAGAGATCTCCTGGACACTGCAGGTGATCAACATAATGTGACTCACAACAGCAGAAGACTTGGAGTCAGCAGTATCCTTCAAAAAGATTGGTGGGAGAATAAATGTAAGTAAACAGGAGTGATATGTGCAAAAATATTTCCTTGTGGTTCTTCCTCCTACTTTCTCACATCTACTGCTGCTCTGCTGGTGACAAAACTCACAAGTTATTAAAATTTCATGTTATTCAGAAGCATCTTTCCCTACACATTCCAAGCACTTTTCATTTCTCACACCTGTCCTTAGAAGTACTTTCATTCCTCAAGAATAGCAGGGGAATAAAATATATCTATAATGTATATTATGTTTAATATATAGTGGCTGATCTTTAGCTGTGTACATAAATGTCACAGAATATCAATTCCTGAGTATTTTTTGTCTCTCTGAGGTACTTAGAGATTTTTATTCCATTTCCAAAAAACTGTATATGCTTATGAACACATAAGATAAGGGATTGTACTATTTGAAAAAGATACTGTGCATTAAGGATGTGAAAAATACTCAAAGACACACACTGTGCCATCAGGACTGCAGCAGCAACTTCCCTATGCTCTCTCCAGGGAAGAGGCTGGAAGCAGGGATGCTCATGTGGGTGTGTTTTGTGTTACAGTTTGGAGCTTGGCCGTGCCTTTGGGTGAGAAATACGTTGCTGTGCTGGAGCCCTGAGATCATGAATGACTCAGGCAAAATAAAAGGAAAATGCTGTGGCTGTACACTTCCAAGGTAAGCAGCACAGTTTTAAAAGACAGAAGAAGGGGATCTGTGTGTCATTTGCCTTCTCAAAGATGCAATCACAAACGTCTGTCCTTCAGCTCAACTAACCTGCTGCAGCTTTTTCTCATGTACACCTCATTAGGAATCCTGGACTTGTGTCTATTTAACACCAGGGGTTGTATGCTGTGGAGAAAACCCCTTGTGGATGTTAGCTTTTAAAGTACATCTGAAGTCCTCCAGGAGGTACAGACAGATTTAATCTTCCTCTCCATGATTTCTCTCTTAACTGAACTAAATAGCCTTTCCTGAGAGGCGCCAGTTCTCTCAGTCCAAGTGCCAGTACTTGCCCAGTTAATTAACAGCCTTTTGCTTTGAAAAGATAAAGGTCTCCCTTACACAAACACACACAGCGTTTTGTGAGAGAGAGACCTGCTCAGCACCACTTAGGCTGATCTATTTGAGGCTGTCATTGCTCTTTGTGCTCCCTGCCTGTGGGGTCCTGCTGACTTCCTTGTGAATGTGCCATTGCTGTTCAGGGAATGGAACAGCTTGAAAAATGATCTCTTTGGTTTGCAGGGTTGCTTTTGACTGGGGTGGCCTCCTCGTACTGCTACAGCAGAAGGGATAGTGCCATCCTGCAAAGTGTCAGAGCAGGGAGCAGGACTGTGACAACTTTTCTGGCTGTGGAGTTATTTGAATTGTCATTTTTCACTGGGACATGTATTCTCCACTGACTCTTACATTTTATGTCAGTGCAGACAGGAACAAATATTTTGCATAAGAACTGCTGCATGGCATAAATGATCTAGCTCATCATTAGCTCTTAACTTCTTTCACATACAACATAACCATGCTCTTTCAGGTGACAGTAGGATTGGGATATTGACAGCCCCCACCCCCAATATTTTTTTTCATAGACCTCTGTGGGAGTTACCAAATTTGAAGACACCCCTTACCCATGACAGAGTAGGCAATAGGCAGAAATTATTTTGACAGTCTCCTTTGCTATCCCAGTTCTTATTCACAGCTTGTGTCTATGTGTTTTTTTTTCCCTGAGGGAAACATAGTCTAAGGGAATAGAATCATGCTTCCAGATATTAATTTTTCTTCCATTGGGAAAAATGACATCATATAGCTTTGGTAATTTTCATGATGAATTTAAAATATTTTGGTTTCTTGAACAAAACAAAAATATTTGTCAGTTAGATTCAACAAACCAGACTGCTTCCATGCAATAATACTGACATGATTATTCCATCTGTAAATATTGCAGCAGGGTATTTTTTTCTGTGCCTTAAAAACTTGCTGAGACTTTGAAATCATGAGCAGGTGAAGCTGGGAGAGACCCTTAGAGGTCTCTGGTCAGAAACAGGGTCCAGGCTAGAACAGGTTTCTCCAAGTAATATTCAGTTGGGTGTTGAATAGATCTAAGGCTGGAAACTCCACAATTTGTCTGGGAAACCTGTGCCAGTCAGCCAGTGTTTGACCACTCTCACAGTAAATTCTTTCCATTGAATTTCTTGTCTGTAAGTTTGTGCCAATTGCCTCTTGTCCTCTTGCTAGGCACCTCTGTCTCCCTCTTTTTTACTTGTTCTTTTCCCCTCATTAGGTATTTATACACAAATCAAGTATCAAAATACTATCAGAAGAGTATTCCAATTTTCTTTTAGAGTTCTATTAAACAGTAGACTGGTGATATGAGGGTAGAAGACACTAAGAAAAAACAGAATTTTCTGTGGATGCGATAGTTTGCATTAAATATCTCCTATTCTGATTTTTTTCTTAGATATGGTAAGACACAGGACATTAAGTAACATTTGTTTCTTGTACACCAAGATCAGATCATTGCAAAAGCCATTACTGTTTTTATAAGACCCATCTGAATAACATTGCAAAGGACACTTGGGGCTGCCTTTTAGTTTATGACCCAGACTAGGCTATAAGTATATGTGTACAAAAATGCCTCTTTCAGTAACTCTAAAAATTAAATATCACCAGCACAGAGCTGCAGAGATCACATGCTAGTCTTTCCTTGCATTCAGATGCAAGCTATGGAGCAACCTCTTGTTTATTTGTCTTTGAAATGCAGTTGTGTATGGCCTAGAGGGCAAGACTTGTTAAATGTTAATAATTTTTTCCTGAAAATCTAAAGGAGCTAGTATCCAGGGTATAATTTCCTCTTTTTTGCTTCAGTGAATTGCATCTGAGTCCTAGCTTAAAAGGAACTGTCTCCTACAAAGTGGGAGATGTGCATCTATGTAGAAGAGGGATTGATGTGATGAAGGATAGTTTAAGTACAGATTGGGTACAGATGGATGTGATGGCAGTGATGGAATGGGAGCTCATGACAAACACTCTGATTATTACTTCAGTGATTTCTTTCAGTGTTTGATGCAAGACTCCTGATCATTTACTGGGAGCAATGGGAAAAATACTGGGACACTTTTATATGGTTTTCTTTCCCCCAATATCATTAAAACATTCTCTTTTACTCTGTTCTTTTCAAGAAAAGCCAAGATGCTCTCTCCAAGGCTGGCCAGCTGCTGGGAAAAAAAGAAGAATGCCCATGCAGTAGTAGCAGGTAGGAGTTCATTCTGCAGCATCTGAGTGTAGTGGCACTGAGGTCTCTGTGGACACCTGTGTGAGTTTTGGACAGAGAAGTAAAAGGTTCCACATAATAAAATTCTCCTGTATCCAAGCCCCACCATTCCAGAAAAGGCAGGGCAAAAGGTCAGGTGCAATGTGGGTCTGTGCATACGGTACTGTACCTTCTTCATTTAATGTGTCCTCCACTCCATGCGCAGCAGAGATGTACTGATTGTCTTGCAGTGGGGTTTATTTTACCTCTTTGGAGCATGCTGAACTTACCCCTTTTATGTATTGTATTTGCAATGTCTTCCATATGAAGAATCCCTTCTTGATAAAGCATTTTCATGGTTCCATTGAGCAATGTGAGGAAGGAAGCTGAAATTTAAGCAGGACACTCATCCCATATATTTTGACTCTTGTCAAGACTATGACAGTAATTTTGAATTCTGTTAACCCTATTATTGTTATTAAGTGGTCCATAGGAGGTTACAGTCTTCAGCAATCTTCAGAGGTTTCACTTCAGACCTTAAATGGCACGACTTTGGCTGTCTTTCACTTCATAAGAGCAAGAGGAAAGGGGAGAAGGGGTGCTGAAGAGATTCTCTTACAGAGGTGATCAGGGAACAGCTGAGATGAAAGAGGTTTTTCTTTCAAGCAGTACAATGCAGGTTACAATCATTTACTCATTTAAAATGCCTCTATTTTGTGAATGTATGCCAAGAAAATGGAATGATGGACAGAAAAATTCATTGGCTCAAGTGAAGTTGGCAGCTTTCCATACATAACAGTATTTGTAAGCATCCATATTGATGACAGAAAAGTGAATAATATTGCAGGATGTTATATTAATGCTACAGAGAGCTCTAGGTAATTAAAGAAGTACATACATGTAAATTATTTTAAAGCTGGGTTACAATTAACAGCAAGTCTACGTCATAATGATATCATGTTGGATTGGTGCCAATCCTAAGGGATGCTTACTAACTAACTTCCAGTCTGGAAAATTTCCCCAGTACAGCCCCAGCCCCAGGACAGCAAAAGGGTCCTTTGTGCTTCAAAATTGCCACACAGATAGATTATCACAACAAGTGATTTTTTTTTTCTTCATTTGTGATGTATTCTGCCACAGAAAAGCAATTAAAGCTGTGTTTCTAGCAGAAAGCAGGAGTTGACTATGGTGGATTACCAATTTTAATCATAATTTAAACCAGAAAACAGGAAAATTAGTTTTAAATAATCAGTTTTAATCTTGGTTTGCATTTTTACTTACTAGTCACCTTCCTAAAGGAATATTGAACTCTACTGATTAGTAACCATAAGAGGGTGTTGATTTTCACCTAAATACAGTTTGTCTGCTAAGTACTTATTTTAGTGAGGTGAATATATTATATGCATTTAATCAGGGTATAGGCTGATATACATTTAGTTGGATTATGATTATAAAGTAATTTAGAAAAATGGTGATAGATACATTTACTATTTACCCTCTTATGATAATGCTCATATTTGTGTTTCTTGTCAAGGTGCAATTGGATGGAATTTGAAAATCAATTAAAAGTGCAAACCTAGCTTTATAAAGTTGTTTGTTTTAGTTAAATTAAGCCACCTTAAATAGCTTGTTACTTAGGCAAAACATTCATTTATTGAAATTAGTTTTGAAAATAATTGATTCATTAAACAAAGGAAGTATTGTCCATAGTTAACAAATTGTACTAATAGTTTCTGATCATCATGTCTGTCATGATTTTAGAACTACCAGATCTCATCCTGTTGCACCTCATTTATATTTATGGATTGAAAGAGGGATAATAAGCTATCCCATTTTTCAGCAGCCAAAATTTTCTCAGCTATGAATAAATTAGCCACTGAATTTAAGTAACAAAAGACATAAAAATGCAGAAAATATTATCCCTGCAGTTGCAAAAGAGTCTATAGCTTTTTAACACACTCAAAACATTTTCTGATTCAGATTTAGGACTCTGTAACTCCTGAATTACCTGATTCATAGAGTTCTCTTTACCTGTTCACATGTACTACAGCAATATTAATGTTTATTTAATAGAAATATTATCATGAATTATAGTAAATGCAGGCATGGATGTGAGTTGCTAGTATTTAAGTTTCAGTTTTATATATGTTTGCCAATAAATGTATGTGGAATTTAAATTAGGAGTCTGTTTGAACGTAGGCTTCCACTCTGGAATCCTCTTTACAGGGTTATGTAAAAGAACAGAAAATGTTGCCCTTCAACAAGTAGCTGTTAACAGAGAATATTACAAAAAACAAAATCCATCTGTACCTAGGCTGAAGCTGGACTGAGACCCACCTTAAGTGAAACAACATTAATGATCAACTCACGCTTCTAAGGTATGAGAGAATCTCCACTGGACTAATACATTAAAAAAATATTATTAAATGATGGTAAACCCACTTGAGAGAGAGTGTCAGTATGGCATGGAGGTGCAGAACTAACTGCTGATTCATCCTGACAGTCAGGTCAGGCAGGCTGACTCATTAACTCAGAAATATAAAACACTGAGCTTTTCTTTGAGGCAAGAGAAAGAGAGAAGGGACAGCAGAGGTCTTGCAGGCAGAAGTCATAAGAACAGTCAGCTCAGGAGGCACTTGAGGTCTGAAGCTTATGTTTGTGAATACATTTTTGTCTGCAGCCACTTCCTTTTACTGGAAATAAGTCTATATCTGAACTCTGTGGGAGGACAGGTATGTAGATGCGTCCAAGAGGCAATCATGGCTTGAGAGCTCAGTTATCCCGGGCTCAAGAGCACTCAGCAGCAGCTTGGCATTCCTGCTGTCCTCTGCTGCTGCTGCTGCTGACAACCTCTTCTGGGGCTCAAGCGTGCTTCTGAGCTCTCCAAAAGTACAGGAGAGCTGAGGGCTGCGAACCCACAGCCCTCTAGAAATATAACCAGTGACATTATCTCCCTACAACTGACTCTTTGAGTGCCCATGGCAAAGCATTGCTTCATGGATTAAAGTCACTAATGCTGAGAATTGTCCACACACCTCTTGCAGGCTGTGTTCTGGATGTCCCAGAGATGGTAGTTTTAAACTATGTCTAACAGATGTGTGAAATGGCAACAAAATCATGGTGTTCCTATCATGTCTCCCCTAAAAGCAGTTTATTTTATCAAGTGATTAGTAAGTTTTCAGAAAAAGTCCTGAAAAACAAAGTACAACATTTTCATTTTGAATCAGACACATTTGTTACCCAAAACATCAGCATCTCTTTCAGCAGATTGTTTCATGGTGGGGTGGTTTAATTCCACTTGGTATATAAGTCCCACACAGCCGCTTGCTCACTTCCACCTGCCAGAATGAAGGAGAAAATAGGAAAGTAAAAGGGAGTATACTTGAGCATTGAGATATAGAGTTCAATAGGTAAAACAAAAGTCACACAAGCAAGCAAAACAAACCAAGGAATTCATTCACTGCTTCCCATGGGCAGACAGGTGTTCAGCCATTCCCAGGAAAGCAGGAAGTGTTACTTGGGTATACAAATGCCATCACTCCAAATGTCCTCCCACCTTCCTTCTTTTCCCAGCTTTATATGCTGAAGGTGATGCCATATGTTACAGAATATCTCTGGTCACTTGGGGTCAGGTCCTGGCAGTACAACTCCCTGTGCATCCTCAGCCTACTTGCTGAGGCAGAGAAGGCCTCCACTCAGGGAAAGCCCTGCTCAGCAAGAACTACAACATCCCTGTGCTATCAGCACTGTTTCCAACTCAAATTCTAAACATCATATTGTGACGAAAATCAACTCAACCCCAGCCCAAACAAGGGGCTACTACAGATGGGGGCCTCTCCTTCAGGCTGGGAAAACATGAGTTTGTTTGAAATAGTGAGTCTCTGGTGCTTTTTTCTATGCTACCTCTGCAAGTAGCCCATTCTTTGGAGGAATTTATAATTCTTTGTTACTTCCTGTAAACAAAAATGGGATAACAGATAACAGAAGGCAAGAGCATTTAGCATCAGAGAAGGTCTGTTTTCTAATGTGGACATGTGTTAACATCTCTGCAGGTACCAAAGGAATGTTATGAAACTATTGACTATCTTGTTTCCAGGCTTTAGTTCTGATCTCACTCCTATAGCTTTGGAACTGTCTGGGAGGATTAACAAAGGCCAAGATATTGATGGACTGCCCCTGACACACTGCAAAGGCGATTACTTATAATACTTTCCCATGATAGTGATCCTACAAAATATTGAAAGGTCCACAGAAGAAACAGGAAACCTTATTTCAAAGGAAGAGAAATATCCTTTTAATTCACTGGATCACTAAAATCCCATAACCACTCAGTGTACCAAGGTATTGCAATGTTAGAATGAGGGACAGGAGCAAGAGTTGAATTGCAAAACCATTCTGGCACTTTATTCCATGAGTGATCTTGGAGTAAAAAAAAAAAAAAAATTAAAAAAAAAAAAAAAAAAAAAAAAAAAAAAAAAAAAAAGAAAAAGAAAAAGAAAAAAAAAAGGAGAAAAGCAAACCTAACACATTAAAAAAAATCAAAAATTAAAGTAGCCCATTCCAACGAAAACTTACCTTGTCTTCTTGTAATGACAGATGGTTTAGGTAGACTACTTTGATTCATCCAGGGAACATACAAGCAAACATACACTTTGCTGGGCAAGACCTGTATTTTTACATGATTTAGAAAACATCATATTTATTCAAATTGACACACAGCTATATTTTACATACTATATTATTTATTCTATTTTGCATGGAAAATTATTGCTTCACAATTCTGAAATATCTATTAAATTAGGAAAATAATTTTTTTAAACCTCTGAATCTTTTTCAATATTTTTTCTGAGCCAGAAGAATTATTTTCAAGCATTTTTCTCCTTTTACCTCACTTCTTTTGATATTAATGAGCTACAAAAGTCAAATGCAGTCTAACCCAGAGACCATTCATTACACATTCATGAAGTAAAATAGATGCATAACAGCAAATTATGATTTATGACAAAATATTAAAATAAGGGAATTTTGGCATAGACCACATATAATGAGCACTAGTATCACAAAATATTCCTAAACCCAGTCATGCATATTCTGCTTCATATTAAATATTTGTGTCTCAGAGGGCTGGAAAAGACTCAGTAGACCTTTTCAACAGGACATTGAATAGATAAAGCACTTGTTAGATCAAATACATGTACCAACTTGTAGATGAGTAAATGATGCTGAATGTATTGCTCACCATGCAGATAGAAAATCAATAGAGAAGTTTTAGGGGGCAGAGACTTCTCTGAAGAAGCTTGCTGGATCTTTCCTGACTGAAAAGAATAATTCTTGTGTAGACACTGCTAAAACTATGGACAAAATCAGGGTAAAGTAGTAAAATAAAGTAATGACAGTCAAAAGAAAATGTGAAAGGATAAATTTGAAAAGATACTGTGCCCCCACACCCATCTCTTGGGGTAACAACTGGTCTCCCCAGCGTATTTTTTCTCATACCTGTATTGGCAAAGTCACTCTTTTTTTCCCCTACATACACTGCAAGTAGAAGTGAAAAAAACTAGATTGTCTGTTGGCTTCTGGCACCACTTCCCTGAATGACATCTTTTGTCTCATGGGAGTTGTGCCAGCAGAGTTGGTTCCATCTTTTGTCTCATGGTAGTTTGCCAGCAGAACTGGTTCCATATCCCTCCCTGGAAGCAAATCCTTGTTGGCCATGGATTTTGGGTTCTGTCATCCCAGCAGGCTGGACAAAAATAAGACATTCATCCCACATGCCTTGCTCATGCTCGAAGGCAGCTGGTATCCTAAAATATAAACCTTTGTTATTCCAAGAAAATAGACTGCTATTCCTGAATTGGAACCATCAGCAGCAGCTCTAGTGATTTACACTTCTGTCAGGTCTGTCATCCAGAAATACTGTTCATAGACTGTTGCATTAACAGGTTTATCTTTTTCAGGCCAAACACAGAATTTTTAGAACATGGCTTTTATTGAGTATCAGATGGATTTTGACCAATATTGACGCCATGAGTAGGGCCTTTCACTGTCCTTTCAGAACACTGCAGAAAAATGTGACATAACCCATAGATCATTTATCCACAGCTTACACACAACTCTGGCTGAATTCCATTATGTCTACTGCTTAACAACCAACAGTGTCCATTGTTTCTGCCGAGGGGAATCTCATTCAGGATATAAGTGAAACTGCAACGTGAGTACACATGAGGATTATAAAGTTAGCTGCACTGAACTCAACCAAACTAAAACAGGGTTGCTTCCTTTTGGAAAGTGACACCTTCTCAGGTTTAGGAATGGCATGCCAGGGTTCCTATAAACTGTGAAGCTGGGGGAAGAATAGACTGAATGAAATTACTGTAGAATGCTCACAGAGAACTCAGAGGCAGTTCTGAAGTATCTTATAGCTGACCTCAAAAATAAGTGTGCAAGGAATGAATTGCATTCACTGGGCTTGGAGGCTAGGAACCACTGAATCTGAGATTCCAAGGAGAGAAAGAGGAGATATATAAGAGGAAGAGGAGAAGGGAGAGAGGGGAAGCAGGAGGAAGAGAAGGGCTAGAGGAGGAGGAGGAGGAAGAGGCAGAGGAAGTGGCTAAATCAGTCTTTAGTTGGGGGGTTACATTCACAAGATGCTTGATGACTTCTAAAGATGGATTTGGGCAGGAGGAACCCCAAGCCAACATTCTCACACCTTGGTTCCCCCCGCAAAACAGAATTTCTCATTCCCAAACCTAGAGTGGTTGAAGAAGAAAGCTGTGAGGAAGATGCTCACGAATACCAGACAAGTGAGGAGGAACTCACTCTAGCTTTCTTTCTCTCTTCTCTTCCATCTTGCAGCTGAGCATTGCCTCAGTTGCTGTCCATGACCCAAGTAGGCTTTCCAGTATCCCACAAAAGAAGGCAAAAATGCCTTCTCGAATGTGACTTTAGGTCTTCAATTGGATGAGGTGACACTATTGTTTGGGCTCCTCTGCACATGAGAGACATGAAGCTTCAGAAGTGGGTCCAGCAGAGGGCTACAAAGGTGATCAAGGGAGACTGGAGCATCTCTCTTATAAGGCTGGGGGGAGCTGGGCCTGTTCAGCTTCATGAAGAGATGACTGGGAGGGGACCTCTTTGGTGTCTAGGTTTCTGAAGGTGGGATGCCAAGGGGATGCAGCCAGGCTCTTCTTGCTCGTGCCAAGCAATAGGACAAGAGGCAATGGGATGAAGCTGATGCACAGGAAGTTCCACCTACAAGGAAGAACTTCTTTACTGTGAAGGTGACCAAACATTGGAATAGATTGCCCAGAGAGGGTGCGGAGTCTCTCTCACTGGACATATTCAAGAACCACCTGGACACAATCTTGTGCAATGTGCT